AAGCATTATGTTTGGGGCAAATCCAATACAACACATCACTGAGTAACTGCCTCCTTATTTTCAAGCATGGTGGTGGCTGCATCATGGTATGGGTATGCTTGTCATTGGTAAAGACTGGGGATGAAGCTGAGTGGCCAACTTACAGTTTTTACTTAAATCTGCTAGAAAATCTATGGCAAGACTTGAAAATGGTTGTCTAGCAATGATACCCAACACCATGACAGAGCTTGAAGTATTTTGAAAATAATAATGTGCAAATATTGCACAATCCAGGTGTGCAAAGCTCTTATGAGACTTACCCAAGAAGACTCACAGCTGTAATTGTTGCCAAAGATATTTCTAATATGTATTGACTCAGGGGGGTGAATACTTTTCTAATCAAGGTATATTAGTGTTTTTTTATTGTTTCATTCATCTTTTAAAAAACGTTAGATTTTTTCTTCCACTTTGAGATTAGAGTATTTTGTGTGGAATGTTGACCAGAAAATTACAATTAAATCCATTTTAATGTCACTTTGCAACATAATAAAATGTGAAGAAATCCGAGGGGGATGTACGCTTTCTGTATACAGTTGAAGTCGGAAGTTTACATACACCTTAGCCAAATACATTTAAACTCAAGTTTTCACAATTCCTGACATTTAATCCTAGTAAATATTCCCTGTTTTAGGTCAGTTAGGATCACCACCACTTTATTTTAAGAATGTGAAATGTCAGAATAATAGTAGAGAGAATTATTTATTTCAGCTTTTATTCCTTTCATCACATTCCCAGTGGGTCAGAAGTTTACATACACTCAATTAGTATTTGGTAGCATTGCCTTTAAATTGTTTAACTTGGGTCAAACGTTTCGGGTAGCCTTCCACAAGCTTCCCACAATAAATTCCACAATAAATTGGGTGAATTTTGGCCCATTCCTCCTGACAGAGCTGGTGTAACTGAGTCAGGTTTGTAGACCTCCTTGCTCGCACACGCTTTTTAAGTTCTGCCCACAAATGTTCTATAGGATTGAGGTCAGGGCTTTGTGATGGCCACTCCAATACCTTAACTTTGTTGTCCTTAAGCCATTTTGCCACAACTTTTGAAGTATGCTTGGGGTCATTGTCCATTTGGAAGACCCATTTGCGACCAAGCTTTAACTTCCTGACTGATGTCTTGAGATGTTGCTTCAATATATCCACACAATTTTCCTTCCTCATGATGCCATCTATTTTGTGAAGTGCACCAGTCCCTCCTGCAGCAAAGTACCCCCACAGCATGATGCTGCCACCCACGTGCTTCACGGTTGGGATGGTGTTCTTCGGCTTGCAAGCGTCCCCCTTTTTCCTCCAAACATAACGATGGTCATTATGGCCAAACAGTTCTATTTTTGTTTCATCAAACCAGAGGACAATTCTCCAAAAAGTATGATCTTTGTCCCCATGTGCAGTTACAAACCGTAGTCTGGCTTTTTTATGGCGGTTTTGGAGCAGTGGCTTCTTCCTTGCTGAGCGGCCTTTCAGGTTATGTCGATATAGGACTCGTTTTACTGTGGATATAGATACTTTTGTACCGGTTTCCTCCAGCATCTTCACAAGGTCCTTTGCTGTTGTTCTGGGATTGATTTGCACTTTTCGCACCAAAGTACGTTCAACTCTAGGAGACAGAATTCGTACTATTGTTTGTACAGATGAACATGGTACCTTCAGGTGTTTGGAAATTGCTCCCAAGGATGAACCAGACTTGTGGAGGTCAACCATTTCTTTTCTGAGGTCTTGGCTGATTTATTTTGATTTTCCCATGATGTCAAGCAAAGAGGCACTGAGTTTGAAGGTAGGCCTTGAAATACATCCACAGGTACACCTCCAATTGACTCAAATTATGTCAATTAGCCTATCAGAAGCTTCTAAAGCCATGACATAATTTTCTGGAATTTTCCAAGCTTTTTAAAGGCACAGTAAACTTAGTGTATGTAAACGTCTGTCCCACTGGAATTGTGATACAGTGAATTATAAGTGAAATAATCTGTCTGTAAACAATTGTTGGAAAAATTACTTGTGTCATGCACAAAGTAGATGTCCTAACCGACTTGCCAAAACTATAGTTTGTTAACAAGACATTTGTGGTGTGGTTGAAAAACGAGTTTTAAGTGTATGTAAACTTCCAACTTCAACTGTACATGAATATACACCACTGTCAGATTTGTCGTAAAGGAGAAGACTAGCAACTTAACAGAATTAAGGCAAATGTACTTACTAGTTGATGGGTATTCATGAATTCAAGCAACAGCATTGAATTCATTATCTTTTCAAATTTGGGCATTAAAAACTTCTTAGTGGAGACATTGGGTGCTTTGGGCCAAATTCCTACATATAATATCCATACAAAATATAACTCGCCTGGATACATGGAATATTGGACACCCTGCTGTGTAACCTTTTAAATCATTTATCTCTTGTCAACGTCTGCTCTGTGGGGGTACTTTCCTGCCAATCATATTGTAAATATATTCCTTTATATTGTTAGTATTATTGGCAGGAAAATACCCCATACATCGCCAACAACTTTACAGTTGTTGTATTTACATAAATACTATGTCTTTGATATTGTGTTACTACTAACAGTATATTTATTTTAAAGCTGCCTTTGATTCATCTAATTCCAATACATGCCACATTTATTTTTTTCAGACTTGTTCCTCCTAAGTATCAATATGCATGTAAATTGAGTGAGAGGAATAAACCATTATTTCTGTAGTGCCTCCCCAATGTTCAGGAGCTAACCATGAGTTGCTGCCTGGAAGAAATCAGGCCATTCATTTATGCATAACTAACATGCAGTTTGTCAATGAGAAAGTTCTGAATGGCAATGGGTTTAGTCAGTCTGTTGCCCAAATGAATGGGACGCGTTATGCTTGGTAATAAAGGATGCAAATGTGTTTGGTACTAAATGGCATGTTTTACAGACATACTTCAAATGCTAATAGCGTAGGGATGTAGCTTAGTTGGTAGAGCATGGCGTTTGCAACGCCAGGATTGTGGGTTCGATTCCCATGGGGGGAATAATGTATGCACTAACTGTAAGTCGCTCTGGATAAGAGCGTCTGCTAAATGACTAAAATGTAAATGTAAAATGTAGTATAGTTACTGCATCAATACTGTCATTGTTAAGGAATGATTTGGTCTTACTTTGAGCTCAATGGCTGTCTGAGAGACTAAGGGATGATTTGTCTAACTTTGAGCTGAATGGCTGTCTGAGAGACTAAGGGATGATTTGTCCTACTTTGAGCTGAATGGCTGTCTGAGAGACTAAGGGATGATTTGTCCTACTTTGAGCTGAATGGCTGTCTGTGAGACTAAGGGATGATTTGTCTTACTTTGAGCTGAATGGCTGTCTGAGAGACTAAGGGATGATTTGTCTTACTTTGAGCTGAATGGCTGTCTGAGAGACTAAGGGATGATTTGTCTTACTTTGAGCTGAATGGCTGTCTGAGAGACTAAGTGATGATTTGTCTTACTTTGAGCTGAATGGCTGTCTGAGAGACTAAGGGATGATTTGTCCTACTTTGAGCTGAATGGCTGTCTGAGAGACTAAGGGATGATTTGTCTAACTTTGAGCTGAATGGCTGTCTGAGAGACTAAGGGATGATTTGTCCTACTTTGAGCTGAATGGCTGTCTGAGAGACTAAGGGATGATTTTGTCTTACTTTGAGCTGAATGGCTGTCTGAGAGACTAAGGGATGATTTGTCTTACTTTGAGCTGAATGGCTGTCTGAGAGACTAAGGGATGATTTGTTACTGTGAGCTGAATTGGCTGTCTGAAGAAAGGATTTTGGAGCTGAATGGCTGTCTGAGAGACTAAGGGATGATTTGTCTTACTTTTGAGCTGAATGGCTGTCTGAGAGACTAAGGGATGATTTGTCTTACTTTGAGCTGAATGGCTGTCCTGAGAGACTAAGGGATGATTTGTCTTACTTTGAGCTGAATGGCTGTCTGAGAGACTAAGGGATGAATTTGTCTTACTTTGAGCTGAATGGCTGTCTGTGAGACTAAGTGATGATTTGTCCTACTTTTGAGCTGAATGGCTGTCTGAGAGACTAAGGGATGATTTGTCTTACTTTGAGCTGAATGGCTGTCCCTGAGAGACTAAGGATGATTTGTCTTACTTTGAGCTGAATGGCTGTCTGATGAGACTAAGGGATGATTTGTCCTACTTTGAGCTGAATGGCTGTCTGAGAGACTAAGGGATGATTTGTCTTACTTTGAGCTGAATGGCTGTCTGAGAGACTAAGGGATGATTTGTCTTACTTTGAGCTGAATGGCTGTCTGAGAGACTAAGGGATGATTTGTCCTACTTTGAGCTGAATGGCTGTCTGAGAGACTAAGGGATGATTTGTCTTACTTTGAGCTGAATGGCTGTCTGAGAGACTAAGGGATGATATACTGTAGGAAACGGTACGGAACTCTAGTGGCTGGTCTCCCTGACAACTACACCGTATCATGACATAAACAAACAGCCAAAACAACAACAACAGCTGTGTAGCTTCTCATACCGCTTGAAACGTGCCTTCGCCGGACTACAAAAACATCTCACGATCCACGCCAACTGTGTGTTTGCCACAGGAAACATGGAGACGTACATAATCACCATGCATAAGAGGAGAAGCTGTGGGTAACACTACTTCAAGCCGACCGGTATAATGCTTTATTACTTGTTGTAAGCACGTATGAGCTTTCATGTCTTATTAAAAGGTTTACAGTATGTTAAGTCCTTTTATGAAACACATTTTCAACTGGTTCAAAATTGCTGTTATTTAGTCATTGAGATAATATTAAGAATTTCTAAGGGGGTCATGCGTGCTTATGACAAGTCTTACAATGCATTATAACCGCATCATAATCCATGATAACCGCATCATAATGCATTTATAACCGCATCATAATGCATTATACTTGTCAGGTCGAAGTGTACCGAGCGGTTCAGTTCAGGAGGGTGCCGTACAGCTGGGCCTTGGTCAGACTGTCTTTCCTGCTCAGTCCTGTTCCTGTGCTTCCAAATTTTTGGTATTGTTGGGAACTCTTTTTGGGAAGAGCCGGGCTCGGGCTGGGCCTCATTCTCTCCCGCTGGTAGTGCTGCAGACTGGAGGCTTCAAGGGAGCTTTGGTGGTGTAAGGACTCGGCTGAGCTGTTGGGGCTCACATCCACGTATTCCTTGTTCATGCTCCCCCCTACCGCTCCAGCCGCCCCGCTCTCCTTGTCCTTCAAGCTCCCTGAGAGGAACTGCAGGCTGTACTCTGAGTCCTGGCTGTCTACCTTGGCTCTGTACAGGGGCGGAGGATTGTCCGGCTTGCCCCGCAGGCCCAGGCTGGGGTGTTTGGGACTGGGACTGGGGCTGGGTGAGAGGCCAACACCGGCGGCAGCAGCCAAGCACTGGTCCAGCACGTGGCTGTGGAGGAAGACGTTGTCGTCCCCCTCCTGGAAGCTGCTGTAGAGAGGCCCCAGTTTAATCTTGGCCGGGCCCATGGCAAAGTGCTGCTCGGAGAAGCTGTAAGGAGACACGCGGCCCGGGTTGCGGTTGAAGGAGTACGAGTTGATGTCCTCTACGCTCAGCTGCCTCCAGCGTCCAGTCAGTTCCTCCTCGGTGGGGACACCCATGCTGCCAATGCTGGCCTGACTGTCGGAGCGCTCCGCACCCCGGGGTCCTCCTCCTCCCTGGGCCGAGCCCACACTGTGTGACGACGTGACGAGCGGCGAGTGGTACGGCTCACTGTAGCTGCAGGATGCTGTGCGCTCATATGCCGGTGAAGAGCCACCGCTGCCTTTCGCCGGGTTGGGGGAAGGCGGCATTGCCATGTGCTGGAAGCTGTGGGACTTGGGGAAGACGCTGGTGCCAGGAGGGCTGTCCTTCTCATAGGACGAGGTGCTCTTTCGCTCGCCGTAACCCCCATCCCGCCAGTCCATGTAGAGCGCCTGGTGGGAGGAGGACATGGTGCTGCTGGGGCCACCGCCGCAGCCTTCCCCACCCTTCTCATCCTCCGACGCCTGGCTGAAGCTGGAGTAGGAGCTAGAGGCCCGCAAGGAGCCCACGGCAAACTCTCCATGGAAGGAGGGTGCCCCGTGATGGGAGAAGTTACCCGAATGGAAGGCCTCCTCCTCGGGGTTGGAATCTGTGGAGTTCTGGGCCTGGAGGAGGAGACCCATGGGGCGGCCATGGACGTCCACGCTCTGTCTGCGCTCCTGCCAGCGCTCAGGGCAGTACAGGGCTGTGTCGCTGCAGTACAGGTCCGATGTCCGGTAAGCGGTGCGGCGCTGGAGGCTTTCGGTGCCGCCGCCCACGCTAGTGTGCACAAAGTTATGGTCATGGCCCTCATCCTCCAGTGGCTTGGGGCTGGGTGAACGGGTGTTGGGGCAGCTGCTGCCTGGCTCCGGCTTCTCTAGCACTTTGGCGATGACGGCAGTGGGCACAGCATCGGAGTAGGGCGAGTGGCACAGTGCCATGGTGACGCCGTGGCCTTGCTTCTCAATGTGGGAGCTCACCCGCTCCTGGAAGTCAATGGGCAGCTGGAGAGAGAGAAATAGAAAGGGACGGTGAGGAGAAATATTAAAAGAGAGAAAGGACATGGACAGACAAATAAATGAGAGTTCATTGAATATAAATTGATTCAGAAATTACAGCAATAAATGACAGAAAGGAGGACTACTACTCTAACAAAGTAATGTTTCAGAGATTTTTCCAGCAAAACTTTACTCTACAACAAGCATTCCCTATTTAGACCATGCTGTCTGACAACCACTATCATATCTCCCCATACATATTCACAAACTTGCCATTATGGAATGCTCGCCACATCTGCACAGCTTTTTATCAATTCTGTTCCCTAGGCTCCAATCTAGAGTTTGAGTTTAGAAAATTAATTTATTCTCGTGTGTTTACTCAGTCCAGCTCGGAGACCCGGTGGGACTTTCACTACACTGCCCTCTCTAATGAATTTGTCAGAAATTTGCTGACCACAACCCCTCCGCTCCTGTGCTTTGGCTAGGAGCTTTTCTTCTAATTCCTCAGTCGTTTACTTCACTGAGTTTTAGGTTACATCCATCAGCATGAATACGGGTACATCAATAAACACACACACACACACACAGATACACATGTGCACACACGCGCGCGCGCACACCACACACACACACACACACACACACACACACACACACACACACACACACACACACACACACACACACACACGCACACACACACACACACAACTCCCCCCTCTGCTAACAGTACATACAACTTCCCTTGTCTTTATTGGACAGCCACAAGAAGAACAAGTCCTGTAAATTATAGGCTGGTCTTCCTTCTATTTTTCTCTTGAGTTATTAATAGCATAGGGGGTCAGTGAGAAATGGAGATAGATTCTGTGGGGGTCTCTCTCTTCTCTTCCCTGCTCTCTGTGTCTCCTCTCCCCTGCTCTCCGTGTCTCCTCTCTGTGTCTCCTCTCTGTGTCTCCTCTCCCCTCCTCTCTGTGTCTCCTCTCTGTGTCTCCTCTCCCTCTCCTCTCTGTGTCTCCTCTCCCCTCCTCTCTGTGTCTTCTCTCCCCCTCCTCTCTGTGTCTCCTCTCCCCTGCTCTCTGTGTCTCCTCTCCCCCTCCTCTCTGTGTCTCCTCTCCCCTCCTCTCTGTGTCTCCTCTCCCCCGCTCTCCATGTCTCCTCTCTGTGTCTCCTCTCTGTGTCTCCTCTCCCCCTCCTCTCTGTCTCCTCTCTCCCGCTCTCTGTGTCTCCTCTCTCCCGCTCTCTGTGTCTCCTCTCCCCGCTCTCCGTGTCTCCTCTCTGTGTCTTCCTCTCTGTGTCTCCTCTCCTCTCCCCCTCCTCTCTGTTCTCCTCTCTGTGTCTCCTCTCCCCCTCCTTCGGTGTCTCCTCCTCCCCTGCTCTCTGTGTCTCCTCTCTGTGTCTCCTCTCTGTGTCTCCTCTCCTCCTGCTCTCTGTGTCTCCTCTCCCCCGCTCTCTGTGTCTCCTCTCTTCCTCTCTCCCGTCTCTGTTCCTCCTCTTCCCCCGCTCTCCGTGTCTCCTCTCTGTGGTCTCCCTCCCTCCTCCTCTCTGTTCTCCTCTCCCCCTCCCTCTGTGTCTCCTCTCCCCTGCCTCTCTGTGTCCTCCTCTCTGGGTCCTCCTCTCGGTCTCTCTACCCCTCCTCTCGTGTCGCCTCTCTGTGTCTCCTCTCCCCTGTCTCCTCTCTGTGTCTTCCTCTCTCCCCTCCCTCTCTCTCCTCTCCCCGCTCTCTGTGTCTCCTCCCCCCGTCCTCTCTGGTCTCCTCTCTGTGTCTCCTCTCTCCCCCTCCTCTCTGTGTCTCCTCTCTCCCCCTCCTCTCTGTGTCTCCTCTCTCCCGCTCTCTGTGTCTCCTCTCCCCCGCTCTCTGTGTCTCCTCTCCCCTCCTCTCTGTGTCTCTCCTCTCCCTGTGCTCCTCTCTGTGTTCCCTCTGCTCTCTGTTTCTCTCTCCCCTCTCCTCCTCTGTGGTCCCCTCCTCTCCTCCTCCCCTCCTCTCTGTGTCTCCTCTCCCCTCCTCTCTGTGTCTCCTCTCCCCTCCTCTCTGTGTCTCCTCTCCCCCTCCTCTCTGTGTCTCCCTCCCTTCCCTCCTCTCTCTGTCTCCTCTCCCCCTCCTCTCTGTGTCTCCTCTCTCCCTCCCTCTCTGTGTCTCCCTCTCCCCCTCCTCTCTGTGTCTCCTCTCCTCTCCCCTCCTCTCTCTGTGTCCCCGTCTCCCCTCCTCTCTGTCTCCTCTCCTCCCTCCTCCTGCTCTTGTCTCCTCTCCCCTCCTCTCTGTGTCTCCTCTCCCCCTCCTCTCTGTTCTTCTCTCCTCTCCCCTCTCTCTCTGGTCTCCTCTCCCCCTCCTCTCTGTGTCTCTCTCCCCTCCCCTCCTCTCCCCCCCTCTCGGGTCCTCCCCTCTGTGTCTCCTCTCCCCGTCTCTTTCTCCTCCCCCCTCCTCTCTGTGTCTCCTCTCCCCCTCCTCTCTGTGCCCTCTCCCCTCCTCCTGGCTCTCCTCTCTCTCCCTCTCCTCTTGTGCTCCTTCCCCTCTCTCTGTGCTCTCCTGTGTCCCCCTCCTCCCCCCCCCTCTCCCCTCCTCTCTGGTCTCTCTCCCCCGCCCGCTCTTCCCTCCACTATCAAACACACAGCTACAGGTCTCCAGCAAAAACACATGGCGTGTTCAGCAACTTTCCTGAGGGGCTCCGCTGCACACCGATCAATTTATCTGGCTGGTAATTAGCAGAGTTAAGTCCCAATGAAAATCATACAGCATCCCTTTGATCGCACTCAGCTATATTCACCACTGTTTTTTTTTAACGGATTCGTCAATGCTCTGGAATTGGTCATTGACATTCGTTACTTGTGCCGGGTCTCACTTTCAGTCGACTCGGAGGGATGTGCTTTCAAAAGCCAATCACTGTTATTTCATTGGAGTATGATTATGGAGAGCTGAATGAGTCAATCGATAACAACCGCTGTGACCCTGGTATCTTGCTGTATTTCAATAACTCCTTCAATTTCATACCGTAGCTGCATTGCTACTTGGCCCATATATGCATGACATTACGTTGAAAAAATAGTCCCACGTCTGTGAGGCATTCTTAAGAGGAATTATGAGGATTTTCTCTCATACCTCACTTCCTACTCCCCTTTGTGTGGACTAGATGTTGTTGGAGTCCATTGGTCCTCTGTTGTACTCAGTTGTATGGTCAAATCAACAGGGGGATAATGAAGTGGCCATCAAGAGCCTGACAGAACAGCACTTGAGACAGGGCTGTTTGTTATCGTGAGTGAGTGGAGAGCAGAGCAGAACTCACCTCAGATAGTTTGTGGGCTCTGTGGTGTGACTTGGAACATTGAAGGAGCTGTGCTGCCAGGTTACAGTCCTTCCTGTACAGGTCCTGGCATGGGAAAGATAAACACTGTTGTTGAGTCATAGGTTGGGGTGCCATTCAGACTTAAGAACAGTATTAATTGTAATGGGAGTAACTGACCTAAATATATTTCAAATAGGTTACTGCAATAATTACTTTGCAGTTCTATTAAATATACAAATACATGTAAATTCCATGTAATACCATGGTATTTGTGCATCCGAGTAGAATGGGACCAAACAGTCATTTCAGCATGTGGCGTTCGCATACACACCAATGCTTGACAAACAAAAAAGAACGCCCCCAAAAATTATATTACAAATTGATTACTAGCCTAGATCTGTTTTTCTCTCCCTCAAGCCTCTTCTGACAACCCCAAAAGTTGACTTCCATTTCAAGTTTTGAGGGTCTCACAAGGCAAGCCTCCACTTAGGAAGAACACGATCAAAGGAACAAACACAACATCAGTCACGGAACAAATCCATCCGCACAGGAAAATAGTGCTCGTTTTTCCGATCAGGCCCCTATTGATTTGAGGGTGACTACTGTACCTCTTACACTTTAAAGAATGAAGAAGTCGTGATGATGACAATGTACTATGAGATTTTTATGTTCATGTTAGAGGTGGCACGGGTGGCAAAGGCCATCACCAGGCATTGGTCTAATTGGGTGTGTAGTTGTTTCAGTGGATCACTTCAAAAAACCTCATGAAGTAAGGATTTTGTGCAACGGCTGGCTGGTATACTCACATTGTCCTCTCTGAGCTTTTCAATTGTGATCTTGGCCTCCATGAGGTGATTGTTGAGGACGATGATCTCTCGACTCAGCACCCTTTTCTCGTCTTCATGGTGCTGGGACTAAAGCAGAGAGGAGAGGTGGAAAGAGGAGAGAAAGAGAGGAGATGAGGAATTGAGAGACCAGGAAGAGGGAGAAGAGGAAGAGAAAGGAAGAGAAAGGAAAAGGAAAGCAGGAGAAAGTAAAGGAGAGAAGAAGAGGAGAGCAGCCAGCCAGTCAGTGTTCACGCTCTTTCTCTGCCAGTAGCAGGTCATAATTAAAGGAAGATTACATTGGCCAGTGCCAATATCAAATCAATTACTCTGCCAGGGTGAGAGAAAGTAGCAATCATAGAGTCCTGAGAAATTAAAGCTTCTTGTGTTGCGATTGTCATTTTTTGACACCGAAACCTGACACCTTAGTATTTCCTGTGATTTAGCCTCAAACAATAAACGGTGACTAGATGCTTTCTTCAATCACCCAATAATTGTCAACCTCCTGTTGTGTGGCAGGATTGACAAAGGATGCATCATCGAGTCCCCAACGCACAATAGTCACGATTGTTTTGGAATACAGGGTGGGAGATCAATTAAATAGAAGTCAATTAATGTCAATTTAAGCAATAGGTTGGCATTGATATCCAAAACCATTCTGTAAGCCTCTTATTAATCAGCTCTAGCACGTTGCTTTGGCGGTCTCATTCATTCCTATGACGTTCCACATTGTAATCATATTTCACTCTGGTTGGTCTTTGGCAGTCTCATTCATTCCGATGACGTTCCACATTGTAATCATATTTCACTCTGGTTGGTCTTTGGCAGTCTCATTCATTCCTATGACGTTCCACATTGTAATCATATTTCACTCTGGTTGGTCTTTGGTAGTCTCATTCATTCCTATGACGTTCCACATTGTAATCATATTTCACTCTGGTTGGTCTTTGGCAGTCTCATTCATTCCTATGACGTTCCACATTGTAATCATATTTCACTCTGGTTGGTCTTTGGTAGTCTCATTCATTCCGATGACGTTCCACATTGTAATCATATTTCACTCTGGTTGGTCTTTGGTAGTCTCATTCATTCCTATGACGTTCCACATTGTAATCATATTTCACTCTGGTTGGTCTTTGGCAGTCTCATTCATTCCGATGACGTTCCACATTGTAATCATATTTCACTCTGGTTGGTCTTTGGTAGTCTCATTCATTCCTATGACGTTCCACATTGTAATCATATTTCACTCTGGTTGGTCTTTGGTGGTCTCATTCAGAACTTAACACCAGAACGGCTAAAGCAGTTCATTTTGACTGCTCATGATTATTTATTTTGTACTTGATTAATACTTTGTCTTTTTTTTGTCATGCCCCCTCTGTCCTTGACTTTTCCTAAATAAGTCTATATAACACACTGTCGGTGTTAGAATCTTAATATCACAAACAGAACCGGAGTTATAACCAGTTTTAGGAGGGAATGTCATTTTTTAAATGGTTTTCCCCCGTTCCCCCTCCTTCTCCCGACAGCAGGGCCTGCTCCGCTCATTCTTCTGACAGTTGAAAGTGAAGTGTCCAGCTAATAATATCCCAGATATTTGCCTCGAAAGTGAACATAAACTATACCGAAACTAATTTCACACATATAACAACAGATTAAATCAATTAAGTATGATGGGGAGAATGGTGAGTTAATGAGCGAGGGGAAGCGAACGATGCCTAATTATGTAATCACCAATTGTGAATGAAGAACAGGGCGGGCCATTCTATTGTATTGATCCATTCTAATTATAATCATAAATGGTATGTACCCTATATCAGTCCACCGAATCAAAGCAGTCTTAACAGTCTACTCCGGCCTACTTGGAGTAGGCTACACAGTGGGAGTGTGCATAATTGTACATGCTGAACGGCTTTCAATATCTGGGAAAATATCCACATCGGGCAGCAGGTGATCGAGTATCGGAGAATGCAGTGATGAAGCTTGTGGAACCTTAGGTTGGCAAGGGGAGAAATATCACCATGTCTTCACTTCACTGTCAATGGCGGACAAGTTGCTTGCAAAAAGAAAGAAAACAAGTCTGCCGGCACCATGAACAAAATGAGATGGGAGCTCCCTCCCTCTGCGCAAAATAAGGCACCTTCACAGCCGTTGCAACAGTGCTGAAGAATGACAAGACGACTGGGACACAATAATGAGAAAATTGGAGACATAAGCACTACAACCAAACAAAGGTGTGTCAGTGTGCCAAGTGAAAGTTAAGAAAATTATGTCATCTGTTAGGACAAGGGATAACAGCTACACAGAACAAAAATGTAAACGCAACATGCAAAGAGTTAGAGTTCATATAAGGAAATCAGTCAATTTAAATAAATTCATTAGGGCCTAATCTATGGATTTCACATGACTGGGAATACAGATATGCATCTGTTGGTAGGGGCGTGGATCAGAAAACCAGTCAGTATCTGGTGTGACCACCATTTGCCTCATGCATCGCGACACATCTCCTTCACATAAAGTTGATCAGGCTTTTGATTGTGGCCTATGGAATGTTGTTACACTCCTCTTCAATGGCTATGTGAAGTTGCTGGATATTGGCGGGAACTGGAACACGCTGTTGTACACGTCAATCCAGAGCATCCCAAACATGCTTAATGGGTGACGTGTCTGGTGAGTATGCAGGCCATGGAAGAACTGGGACATTTTCAGCTTCCAGGAATTGTGTAGAGGTCCTTGCGACATGGGGCCGTGCATTATCATGCTGAAACATGAGGTGATGGTGGCGGATAAATGGCACAAAAATGGGCCTCAGGATCTCGTCATGGTATCTCTGTGCATTCAAATTGCCATCGATAAAATGTAATTGTGTTCATTGTCCGTAGCTTATGTCTGCCCATACCATAACCCCACCGTCACCATGGGGCACTCTGTTCACAACGTTGACATCAGCAAACCGCTCACCCACACGACGCCATCTGCCATCTGCCCGGTACTCCTCCAGCTTTCCAGAGCCATCGAAGGTGAGCATTTGCCCACTGAAGTCGTTTACGACGCCGAACTGCAGTCAGGTCAAGACCTTGGTGAGGACAACGAGCACGCAGATGAGCTTCCCTGAGACGGTTTCTGACAGTTTGTGCAGAAATTCTTCGGTTGCCCACAGTTTTATCAGCTGTCTGGGTGGCAGGTCTCAGACGATCCCGCAGGTGAAGAAGCCGGATGTGGAGGTCCTGGGCTGGTGTGGTTACATGTGGTCTGCGGTTGTGAGGCAGGTTTGACGTACTGCAAATTCTCTAAAATGGAATTGGAGGCGGCTTATGGTATAGAAATGAACATTACATTCTCTGGCAGCAGCTCTGGTGGACATTCCTGCAGTCAGCATGCCAATTGCACGCTCCCTTAAAACTTGAAACATTTGTGGCATTGTGTTGTGTGACAAAACTGCACATTTTAGAGTGGCCTTTTATTTTCCCCAGCACAAGGTGTTCCTGTGTAATTATCATTCTGTTTAATCAGCTTCTTGATATACCACCCCTGTCAGGTGGATGGATTATCTTGGCAATGGAGAAATTCTCACTAACAGGGATGTAAACAAATTTGTGCACAGAATTTGAGAGAAATATGTTTTTTGTGCGTTTGGAACATTTCTGGGATCTTTTATTTCAGCTCATGAAACATGGGACAAACACTTTACATGTTGTTTATATTTTTGTTCAGTATAAATTAAATCCAACTGATTCCGTTGCGTGAAGACGCAAACAAGAACGAGTTGTCAATAATTGACAATTTTTGACTGCTATCATATTGACCCTTATATTAATTATAATGCCATTATTACTTTTGTGCTGAGTTTCACTATTTATTAAGACCACTTGGCGCTTATAATGATGTTTAGGCTACTGATGTTTTCATAATTTGAACACGTGTCTTGACCGTGCGGCTTGGTGGTTGGGGTATTTCTGATATTATTTTGTCGTTATAAAAATAAGCTTTTACAGTGTTCCAACATCAATGCTTTCTGTTCCATAATTCTAACAAAGACACTCCACAAATAAAATGGATTGAACCCTTGAATTTTTAGTTTTTTTTAGTTTTTACATAAACTAATGAAAATGCTATTGTGTTATTTAAAATAAATTACTAATCGTATTCTGTTACCCAACCAAATTATTATTTTTGCGATAGCATATCTGAAATGTATTAACTGAATGTTGCAGTCAGAATGACTGCTCATTAGCTTGAAGGGCCCAGCAGTTCTAATGTTAATTGGGAGGAAGGATGTTTAACATGCTTTTTTACATTTTTATCACAAACTATTTTTGAGAAAATTATGATGAAATTGGCCATTTTAGGCCCTTTTTAGACCTATACATGCCTCCTGTAAGACCCTAAGATCTGTGAACCGTACATGATACAGACAACATCTTGGTGTCTGTCACGCCCTGACATAGAGTTGGCTAGTTGGTTTAGTCAGGGTGGGAATATCTATGTGTGGGAATTTCTATGTGGACATTCTATGTCATTGTATTTCTATGTTGGCCAGGTGTGGTTCCCAATCAGAGGCAGCTGTCGATCGTTGTCTCTGATTGGGGATCATACTTAGGTAGCCTGGTTGCCTACCTTAGTTGTGGGATCTTGTTTGTGTTCCTGTTTGGCTTGTTGTGTGTATAGCCCATAGGACTTCACGTTTTCGTTGTGTTTTGTTATTTTGTCAAGTGTTTATTCGTATTAATAAACATGTACGCATATCACGCTGCACCTTGGTCTGACCCGTCTCTCAACGATCGTGACAGTGTCATTATACTCCATATGGTGTTCTCTCAAATATGGAGTATGTTTAGATTCTGAAATACACATTTTCACATTCATTTATTCAAGATAAAAAATATGAAGATCTCAAAACTACCCTTTTTGATTTTGCTTTATTTTTTATTTTTTACAAATTGTTTGTAACAATATACTCTTCAAACACATAACATTTCCAGAGTGGGCTCTCTTGTACTTTTAATGATATGACCCATTTTATACATAGAAATTGACATTACAGTTCATTAACCAATCACAGCCCTCCGTTAGGATTGCACTATCAGCAAGTCACCAGCAGAGGGAGTTCCCTTTGAATCCATTTTCCCATTCCCTGTGTTGTTGGTGCTCTTAAAATGTATCATACCTTCAGAATTAGCAGAGAACCCACTCTGGAAATGTGATCTACTTGTAGAGTATATTTTTTTACAAACAATATGTCTTAAAATGAACAAAATCAAAAAGGGTAGTTTTTAGATTTT